CTTCAGTTGGAATTTGTGATAATCTCTGGGAGCAAAGGAAATTCACCCAAGGATATATTCCCATAAAATCTCACACTCTGGACTGCTTTCTTTAGTAGGACTATTTGGGCCAGCCAGTTTTATTTCTCTCTCCTCTTGGCAGTTCTCTGCTTTCCCTGGATAGCATGATAGACCAGAGAGCTTTATAATAACTTTTAAATTCTCTATTTTACGAAGAGAAAGAACAATGATGGACACATGGGTACTAACAGAGATGAAGAGCGCACTCACTTTTGAGTTGGCTTCATACACCCTGCAACAACACGCAGGATTTGAGTTGACTCAAAATGCGTGACACATGAGTGGCCCCATTTTTTTTAAAAAAATTCCTCTGGGAATTTTTATTTGTTTTCTCTGCAAGTGATTCACGTCATTACCCAAAAACTGGGTTCGCCTCTTGGTAGGCATCAAGCCAAAAGATACAATCAAGCCAAAGAGCAGGATAAGGAAGGGTTCATTACTTGCCACAAGTAAGGAGAATACTGAGGATCTTTCTCAAAGCAGGGTCTCCCCAACAGCAAAACTGGGGAAACTTTAAGCTAAGGGTCCATGCATATTCATGAAGGGACAAAGCTGTGTGCACATTCATGGTGGGACTTAAGCAGAGAGAAATTCTGCATAGACTCGGGGCAAAGGTGGACAGAGTCCAGGCTCTCGTTGACTGAAGTAATGAGAGTCAGCAAAAGTCAGCATCATCACTCCTCAGGCCCCAGTTAATCCAGTGGTTGAGCACTCAGAGTGGGATTTGGATCCTGTAAAACCACTCAAGAATGTGTTTCAGGCTAATCTTTACCTTCAAAACAGAAGTGAGAGTCTCTATAACTGATAGTCTCCAATAAGGTCAGGTTTTCTCCCTGGCCTGGTAAGAGTTGTTTGTTTTTACATTCTTTTGTCCCCTTAAAATCATTAACTACTGAGAACTATTTTTCTTCAAGGGCAAACACAGTGGCCAGACTTAGATCACCAAACAGCTTAGGTCTAAGATGGCTTTGCTTACGTCAAGAAAGCCGAGCCTCGGTCCCTTTCCCTGGGAATCCCCTACCCTACCCACCTGAGAGCTTTTACTCATCCACTTTGAACATATAAACCTCAGAATAGGTCAAACATAGTGCCAACTCATTTTAAAGTGTTTGCCATTAACTAGGGCCATTGCCAGGCCTCGTGTTCCTGTGCTTTCCTTTAAGCAGCCAGCAGCATTTTTAAAATAAAAAGAAGTTAGCATGCTTCAGATCTTTACTAATCGAGAAATTATTTCTAAGACATCCACTGGTTGATCTGTTACCAGTATTTTTTTTTTTTTTCATTTGAAGACTGCTTTACAGAAGCATTTCCTACATCCTCCAACTCAGAGTAAAAGTAGTTCATTCAGATTGTGGCTGAAATGATGACAAAGGTGGAGATGGTGGAGATGAATAAGATGGTGATTTTGATGATTGTGGTGGTGCCAGTTCCCCACACATTGGGAAACACTGGTTGAAGATGGAAGGCAGTGTTTAGAGGTAGACGGTTTAATACAAAATATTCCTTTCACATTTTAATTTTCTGGTGCACCTGGTTACAATTTTAGCCTCATTAAGGTATTTATAGGTAATCATATAAGAATCTAATTTGATAACCTTAATAAGTCAGAAACACATGAACCCAGATGGGTCCTACCAACCCAACATGAACTCAGGTTACTGAATCAAGGTGGCTTGAATGGTGTTTCATAAGCAGTTGTCATGGAGGGCTCTCAGAGAAGCGTCACCTCAGCCCCAAAGGGATTATTAGGAACTTCTGAGTTGGGTCAACTGTGGAGCTTTCGGAGAAAGAAGTCTGCCTAAAGACACACCATGTAGGTGAATCCCCTTCTTTAAAAAATGAACCCTTCTTTATCTGCTATCAGTGGACATTAAATTCTACCGTGTTCATCACAGCATGACTAGACATCAGCCTTCCCAGGAGCATCTTGAGATGGGCTCACCAGGTGGAGGCTTGCTCTTGCCTTCTGTGGAAGGGACCACAGAGTCTCTTGGACTGTAAGTCTTTTATCAAAAGCTTATCAACAAAGTTCACAAGCCATCTCAATCAGCCAGACCAGTATCCACTGACCTGTGTCTACATGGATGACCAGGAGGAGGACGTAGAGGAAGAGTTAGTTAACCTGGGAACCACTGCACTTTATTTTCCTTTTCTTCCAAAGTATATAAATAACTCATGCAACCTTCCCACCCATCATCTAAGACAAGAATGAGGTGGGTGGAGGAATGAATCCGTTAATCAGGCCCCACTCACAGACCTGCTCTCTTCTTTCCTTAGTGGCTGCAGCTTGGGTGCTGCGATTTTCAAAGTCAGTAAAATACTAGAGAGGCATGTCAGCTGGTATCAAATGGAGCCCCAGAATAACATTGCTGGGAATGGAGCACTTGATAAAATATTCCTAAAGAGTGTCAAGATACATAATGAGACTTTTTTTTTAACAACAAACTTGGCAGAATTTCCTCCAGTTTTTAGCTTTCCAAGTATGATTTTTATTCCAAAAATGCTTTTATGGTTGCAAAGTGAGCTTACCGCTTACCTTCCCCCCTCTGCTGAATTGTCTCTTTTTACATTTTGCGGCTGATTTTAAATATGAAATTGATGGCTTTTTTAGTGCTGAGTCACTAGAACAGTAGTGGTCAAATTTCAATTCATGTGGGCAAAACTCCCATGTGGGAGTCTGGATCTAGTAAACAGGCAAAATTCAGCATCTTCCTTAAGCAACTAGAAACGACACATGCTGTTGAGCAAAAGAATGTCTGTTCCTCCCCAGGAACAGTCATTCTCTTGTAGGTTTATCCTGGCAATGGCAGAGGGAGTTAAAGAGTTGGGGGGGGGGGGTTCAATTAAATATTTTTTTCTTTCCCCAGGTAGATCCAATGTGCTGTGAATCAGAATCAGTATCTGGTTCTTAAGGTCTTAGTACCATCCATTATTCCTTGAACCTGAGAACAAGTCCTCGGTAGATTCTTGCCGACAGGAGATTAATGACCCTAAGAATCAGGAGATGACAGATCTGGGTGTAGGCTGGGATGGCTGAACAAGAAGGAAAGTGTTGCTTTTGTGAAAAAAAATTGCTATTATCGGCTGTATTGTGTCCCCTCAACTCCTTCAAAAGATCATATGTTGAAATCCTAACCTCTAGTACCTCAAAATGCATGCATGCTTAGTCACTCAGTTGTGTCCAACTCTTTGTGACTCCATGGAATGTAGCCCACCAGGCTCCTCTGTCCATGGGGTTCTCCAGGCAAGAATACTGGAGTGGGTGGCCATGCCCTCCTCCAGGGGATCTTCCCCACCCAGGGATCGAACCCAGGTCTCCTGCATTCAGGCGGATTTTTTACCATCTGAGCCTCTAGGGAAGATCCAATACCTCAGAATAGGGCTGTATTTAAAGACAGTGTCTTTATAACTCATGTTCAATGAGGTCATTTGGGTGTGTCCTAACCCAACATGGGCTTCCCTGGTAGCTCAGCTGGTAAAGAATCTGCCTACAACGCAGGAGGCCCCAGTTTGATCCCTGGGCACGGAAGATCCACTGAAGAAGGGAACAGCTACCCAGTCCAGTATTCTGACCTGGAGAATTCCACGGACTGTATCGTCCATGGGGTCACAGAGTCGAACAGGACTGAGTGACTTCCACTTTGTACATTCAACCCAAAGTGACTTGTGTCCTTGTAAGAGGACAAGACACACACAAAGGGAAGACTGTGTAAATAAAGACACAGGCAGTCTACAAGCCAAATAGGAGGCCTTCAAAGAAACAGCCCTGCTGACACCTTGTTCTTGAACTTCCAGCCTCCAGAAATGTGAGACTATAAATTTCTGCCATTTAAGCCCCCTAGTCTGTGGCACTTTGTTATGGCTGCACATGTGAATGAACACGGATAGCTACCTTGCCTTTAACTGGGGTTCTATTCTCTGAAAGCTGACATTCCTTATAGGCATGCAGTCCATGGGGGAAATATGACCAGATTTTATGTCAAAGTCAAGAATGAGAGCCATTTGAATTTGAGTGTAAATGTTCCATTTGCACCTGGTCAGATAGTGCTTCTATAAAATGCATTGTCCCCAAAGAGTTCCAAATGATTCATAATCTTCAAGAATGAAAATAAGGAAGTGACTGTCTTTACTAGTATTTGAAGTACCCCTACCCCAACTCCCACTCAAGGGGCAGAAGCCTAAGCAGGTTGTGATCACGTACCAATATCAACGAAATCCCGTCAAAATTGAAAGTGATTGAAGAGTTGGGGGCATCTGGGCAAGTGCCTCAGCTAGTGGATATTTCCTCAAGTCAGGGCTCCAGTCAGAGGGAAAATCTCCTGCTGCCTCTCTCTCCATCTTCTCCTGTCTTGATTGGATTATGAAGAGATGATTGTAGGGTGGAGAGGAGCAGGGAGGGGCCCAGAAGTCAGCCAAACCCGAGGCCTATTCAAAAACACATTAGTCACTCAAGTCCTGGAGGTGATGGGTATTGATTTCTCCTCCAGCTCATGTGCTGGTACTCAGCGCCCTGACTCCAGAGGGATTCACCCCAGCCGCCCCGAGTGCCCTGGCGTGGCTCTGACTGCTCTGTGAGAATGCATCCTGCCCTCCCACAGTTTTTGTTCTGGAAATAAATACCGGCAGCTCAGGGGTAAAACCCGCCTACCAATGCAAGAGACGTGGGTCCCATTACTGGGTTGGGAAGATCCCCTGGAGAAGGGAATGGCAAACCCACTCCAGTATTCTTGCCTGGGCAATTCCATGGACAGAGGAGCCTGGTGGGCTACAGTCCATGGGATCACAAAAGAGTCGACTTAGCGACTAAACAACAACACAAGTAAATAGCGGCATGGAAGAGGAATAAACTACCTCTGAGAGTTTTGGGGTCTCTGTCCCTAAAGTCACTCTGTCTCTGAGTTCAAACTTCCCTCTACAAAGAGAATCACTAAGCTCTGTAACTAAGGGCTTTTCCAGCTCCAACGCAGCTCAGCCTCACAGCTGCCGGTGAACCTGAGGATGGTGTGAGAACACGGCCAGCGCCGGGTGCAGGATGAGACGACGACAAAGGCTGGCCTAAGCTGATTGACGACCCCGGCACAGGGGCCGGACGGCGGAGGACGGACTTTCTCAGCCTGACGTTCAGTCCACTCCAAGGCACTTCTCTGTGCCTCCGTCCGCTCTGTGAAGTGATTTGCAGCCACAACTGCAGCTATTAATCCTCTCACTCCCTGCCTAGAGGGTGAAGTGATGTATTTGCACTCCCTGCAGGAGAGGTGACCCCTTGCAAAGAAATCTCAGCTCCAGGGACTAAGCACTGGAGAGCCTGGGCTCTGAAAGTCACCGCAGGCTCCGCCTTGCACAGCCTCCGTGCAGCCCCAGTGGGGAACGCGCCTGCAACTCTCCTGGCCCTAAACCTTCCTCTTCCTTCAGGCGCTGGGGGCAGATTCTTCCAGTATTTTCCCCTTGCCAGTCTCAGAGCCAGGAGCTGATTCTACCCCTGGAGCCTCAGTGCGGCCGTGGATGAGATCTGTACCATCGGGGAGGCGGGTGAGTGAGGCCCTGTCCGCACAGAACTGCTGACCTTCGACTCCTTCATAGAGAGGCTCCCAGTCTGACCACTCCTGCTGCAAGGGCAAGTTTCAGAATGCTGTCTCGAAAGTCTTTTGATCCCCCTATTAATACCACTCATGTCAATGTAATAACTTCAAAAGGATCGTAGCTGCAAAGGTACTCTTTGGAGAACCTGCCCAGCATGAAAGAATCTCCAGCTTCTCTTCTCCCTGCCTCTCAGCTGCCTTCCCCTCTGGACCTCGCAGCACTCTTGGGGGCGGCGGCCCCAACTGAATACCCAAGGAGCGCACCCTGATGAACCCCAAAGGGTGTCTTAGAAGCAGGATCGTGCTGGAAATCAGGAGGACTACTGTCTAACTCTCTGAGGGCTGAAGACAGGTTTCCTCCTTGTCCCACAACACATGGGGAGCTAACAGATAGAGCTGCCAATTGTCAGAAAATACGCAGCCCCTCCGGGCCAGGAACTCAGCACTCGATGAGCTCAGCACCATTCACCATGGCGAGCCTGTCTCTCGGGTGTCACAGCCAAGTTGGCCGCTCAGCTTGCCGCTCCTCGGTTATCTCCCAGAAACAAATTTCCTTAAATTGACTCTGCAGAATCTCATTCCACAACTTGCCATCATTTCTAATGAATGTAAATTTCCATACGAATTTTTTAAATTGGCCACCAGCATCACAGTTTTACAGCCTCCGTGGCATAAATTTTACAAGTTTTCCAACCTGCATATATCAAAAATGAAAAGACCTGAGCTTAAAAGCAGAAGAACTGAATCATCCTGTTCTCCAGCGCTCAGAAAAGCATTTAATTGGCGTAATCAACATATGGTTGTAAAAGGGCTTTTATCATCACTTTAGAATATTCACTTGGAAGGATGCTCAGTTGAAGACCTATTGATGGATCAAACATTTAACCACTTGACAAGTATTTTTTTGAACAACTACCCTGTGCAAAACACTGCCAGGTGTGATGAAGTGTGCAGAGAAGTATAATGAGATTCCATTAAATGAGGCAAATAATGACGAGTTCCTGCTATGTGTTGAGAACCCTGCTAGACCCTGAGACACACACAGAGCTGATCAATGTAGGGACGATGGAGCAAAGCAGTGCATCCACTAAGCGACCCTAATGTAATAAAGGCTTTGTGTGAAGTAGGAGATGAGGCCACCCTGGATGCAGGTGAAGGTGGGAAGTGCCTTCATTTCCTGCAAGTTGGCTCAAGGGGACTGCAGCCCGGGTGTGAGCATCGTGGGTGAGCACAACAAAGCCAGCTCTGCCCACGTGAACCTGCACGGGACATAGAAACACTCTGTCCCTCGGGTCCCTAGTCTCTGAGAACTGGGCCCTCGGACCTCATTCATCGTCAATGAGACAGTGCGAGTCCAGAGATGCTGCGAGCTGTGTCGGGCACAGAAGGGAGATGTGGTTGTCACTCCTGCAGGGTCACGGCAGGTGTCCACCAAGCAGGAAACCCTCTTGGTGAGAGGGTCCCCCGGGGCGGGGGGGCGGTGCCTGAGGCTGAGGCCCCCTCTGTGACCAGGAGGTGGAAATCGTGGGCGGGGCTGGGAAGCGTGTCCTGGGCCCTGACATGTCTGGGCTGCCCAGAGAGCCTCCCGGCCCCTCCTGCGTCTGAACCCCTGACTCAGGACCACCAACCCCTGGTCGGCACTGCTCCCGTGGCTGGGTCTTCATTTCCTGCCCCAGAGCCACTGATGTCCCCAGCTCATCGCTACTTGTCCCTCAGGTCTCAGCTCGGATGCCGCCTCCTCAGGGACCCCCTTCCTGGGCCCCTCAAGGTTGGCTCTGTCCTGGGGACAGAGTCACCACCACCCTGGGTCATGACAAGCCCAGGGGACAGGAAGTGGGGGCCCTTCCCCACTGTGACCCCCTGCCCAGAACAAGGCAGGGCTCAGGGAGCTGGGGCTGAGGGAACGAGGATGGAGTGGGGGACACAGCCGGGCAGGGCAGTGATGACCATGGCCCCACAGGATGTGCCTGGGCTCCACCCTCGCCACTATCCTCAGCCCCAGTTGGGTGGGGGCTTGAATTCTGTTGGTTTTCCAAGTTCTGTCACTAAGAAGGTCTAATCAGGCCCTTGTACCCTCTGTCCCTCTATCCACTTTCCTGCCTCCCAGAGAACCAGGCCTCCCACCCAGAGAACTGCTTCCCACTTGAGAAACCCCAAAAGGAGATCCCAAGACAAGCAAGTATGCAGCCCCCACCTGACTGCTTTCCTGGGATCGTTTTCCATCCTTCTTCCTGGTGATGCCCGGCCCCTTCTGCAGTCCAACCCTTACTGCCTCGGTCTGCTGGGGGAGACTAGAACCAGGGGTCTAGCACTACTTGGGTTTCTCAGGCTCTAGCGAGACTCTGGACCCACCGGTGGTGGTGGTTGTTGTTGCTCAGTACTGTCCCACTCTTTGCAACCCCAGGGACTGCAGCACTCCAGGCTTCCCAGTCACGTCCAACTCTTTGCTACATCATGGACTGCAGATGGCCTCCCTGTCCATCACCAACTCCCAGAGCTTGCTCAAACTCATGTTTATTGGGTCAGTGATGCCATCCAACCATCTCGTCCTCTGTCATCCCCTTCTCCTCCTGCCTTCAATCTTTCCCAGCATCAGGGTCTTTTCCAATGACTCAGCTCTTTGCAACTGGTGGCCAAAGTATTGGAGTTTCAGTTTCAGCATTAGTCCCTGCAATAAATATTCAGGATTGATTTCTTTTAGGACTGACTGTTTTGATCTCCTTGCAGTCCAAGGGACTCTCAAGAGTCTTCTCCTACACCACACTTCAAAACCATCGATTCTTTGGTGCTCAGGCTTATTTATGATCCAACTCTCACATCCATACATGACTACTGGAAATACCATAGCTTTGACTATGTTTGACTGAGTTTTTAAAACTCAGATGCTAGACCCAGCTCAGAGGTTCTGATTGAGTGGGTCTGGGGTGACAGGTGAAAACTGCAATTCTAACAGGGTCCCAGGAGGCTGATGCTATTGACCTTGGAATGACACCCTGAGAACCACGCTCTCCACTAAGCCTGTCCCCCCGAGACGGTGACCATTGGGGCAAGACTCCTCTCCTCTACCTCACTCGGGACCCATCCTGTCTGCAGGGCAGGGTAACTGAGTGCCCGGGCTCCGCCGCCCTCACCGTCCCCTTCACTGCCCCAGCTGCACAGCCTCCTTGCTGCTCCTCCCCGGGGACCCCCAGGGTCTCTGCTGCCTCAGGCCCTTTGCACCTGCTCTTCCTTCTGCTTGGTGTACCCCTCCCAGGGCTCGCTCACCTCCTACGAGAGGCTGTCCCTGCCCACTTACATGACCTTGTCCATCAGCTCTGATTCCTGTCTAGCAGCTATCGCCTCCGTACATGCCTTACAACAGTTGGTTCAATGACTATTACTTGTCCTTCAGACTGGACAGTGACCTCCTTGCGAGTGGGGACTTTGCTCGGTTCCCTGCCCCATCCCAGCACCCAGAGCAGGGCCAGCAGGGATGGGTGTTCAGTACCTACCCGTTACTCAGTGACTCAGAGGAGGAGTCCTTCCCGCTAATCTCATAGGCCGTCCTTCTCTTGTTGGTTTTGAATGGTGTTTCCTGCATCACCACCTTCCTTGTTGATTCTTAGATCATAGAGCCTCAGAGAACTGCTGGGCAAAAAAATACACATTTTCATAAGGAAACTAGGAGGTGACTTCCCTTGCCTGGGGACAGGCATGAAAGGCCCCTCCCCCTCCTGAGAAGGGCCGTCAGCCCTGCAGGTGCCCGGGGTTCAGGCTCCACGCAGGGCCTGCAGTGTCCGCTCTCACTCATTCATTTCTCCCTTTTCCGGCTCTCAGCAAGGCGGCAGCTCTCTCCTGCCTTTCACTCCCGTCCATTTACGCTGGAGGAAAATTAAAAAGAAATGAAATGCACTTAAGAGAATGCCTCGAGGAGTTGCCAGGCCACCCGGGTATAGTGAATGGGCTCCTTTTGGGGTCTTGGTGATTATCAATTATTTATTGAACCCTGATTATGTTCCTGGCGCCACCAAGACAGAAAAAAGACAAGGTCCCTTCCCTGGGAGCTTCCCAGGGGAGGAAGGGACAGTTTTGGCAGCTAAAAAAGTGTTCCATCTGAAAAAACAGTGACACGTCACAGCTCAAGGCTGCTCTATGCCTTAATTATATTTTTATTTTTAATGATGTTCATTTGTTTTCTTATCCAAAAGTAACAAAGTTTATAAGATATTCCTACAAAATAGAGAGAAAAAAAACTCAACTCCATATTTTACCACACATTTTAAAAGTCTACTTGGTTTATAAAATTATGATTTAGGAAAGATGCAACATTCAGAACCTCCTTGATTGTTACTTCACAGTATATTGTACATTTCTCAGTGCCACAAGGTCATCTTCAGAAACATAAATGCTAACAGCTATGAGGTTTCCACCCTATAGATGTACCGTGACTCCTCCACTGTTGGACCATAAGACTGTCTTCTCTTTTCCTCTTTCTGCTTTGTCTTGGTTAGCATAAAAAATACTGCCATGAACATCTTAATTAGAAATCTTTAATCACTCTTGTGGCGATTTAAGTTCCAAATGGGGAAGAAGGAAAACCCAAGCCCACATTGGACATAAGTTGCATGTACATAACAATAAAGCTCTTTGAACAGA